TTGGGAGGTTGGCCTTGGTGGAATTGATGGAAATTCCTGTCGAGTGTTGACTTTGGCGATTCTTTCTGTAATGTTATTGCGTGTTTTTTATGGAAATGGCAACAATCACAAACTGGTGTTTAGTCCGTCTTTGAGGGGCGTTGTATACAGTTCCAGTAGTTAAGTAATGATGGCCTTACTGTTTCTGGAAACCATTTCCGCAGAGTTCGAGGTGTGGATATGAAGAACGATTTCGCCTTTGTTGTAAGTTTTCATTCCATTCTTTGTCTTGTCTATTTTTTTGACTTCCGTTTGTCCTCAATGCCTTTGCTCTAAGGTGGCTTTTAGTGTCTGCTCAGAGGATTCGGTTGTAAATGATGGTAAGATTCTGTTACTTTAGTGGATTGTTACTGACAGATTTTGAACAGGAATTTAGTGATCCTCGAGATGCGGATGATGCCAGATTTAACTTGGATGGCCGTGACCTTGAAGGAAGTCGTATTATTGTTGAATTTGCTAAGGGGGTAGGAACTACTTTAATGTTTATGTATATAATATTTTTCTTAAGATTTGGTCTTCTCATTTGTAGTAGACTGTCTAAGGGATGCTTTTCGTAGTTTCTATAGTGTTTATCTATAGTGTCGTAGTTTCATTTGATCTCTTTATAATCAGGGTCCTCGTGGTTCGCGTGAATACTTGGGTCGGGGTCCACCTCCTGGATCTGGACGATGCTTTAACTGTGGCATTGATGGTCATTGGGCCCGAGATTGCAAAGCTGGGGATTGGAAAAACAAATGCTACCGATGCGGGGAAAGAGGTCATATAGAGAAGAACTGTAAGAACAGTCCCAAAAAGTTGAGGTTAGCCCTCGTTTTGTTTCCATACCTCTTCTACATCGTGTTGATATGTCCTTAACTTATTTATTTTTTTTAATGAGTTTTAAATATTTTATGTCAATTTGAGTTTTCTGTAGCAGCAGGCGTGGACGGAGTTTCTCACGATCACCAGTCAGGTCATATTCTCCTCGTCGTGGGAGAAGCAGGGATCGGAGCTACAGTCGTGACCGCAGCTACAGGTTGGGTTCTAGTAATTTCTAATCCTATTGTTCATTTTCTGATTGCAATTGTACTGCAATTTGAGTGTAATAATCTGTTGTTTCAATTGTCATTACCACTTCTTTTCTAATAAGCTTGTAAGCTGAGTTTTGGTGAACTATTTTTTTGGCCAGTCGATCGAGATCTCCTGTCAAAAGAGCAAGAAGCCCAGTCTCTGAAGATAGGTCACGGAGTCCTCGACCCTCCAAGATAAGGGATCATAGTGCATCACCTGACCGTAGTAGCCCACAGAAGAAAAGTGACATATCTCCCCGTTATGATGATAGGTTGGTCACACAGCGAGATGGGTCTGACTTCAGTGATGGTCCAAGAGGTAAAAGTAGAAGCCCTGCTAGCCCTGCAAGGAACAACAATGAGAGGGGGTATGATAGCCCCAAATCTAATGGTCGTAGCCGGAGCCCCAGCCGCAGCCCTAGGGATGACAGGAGCCCCATTGATGAAGATGATGACAACCATCGTCGCTCACGGTCACCACCTTAGATAGTGCTTTTTGATAAGAGGTCTGGATTGGCCCAGTTTATTATATCTGGATTATAAATTGCACTCCTGTTTAATTGTGATCAAGACATTTTATGTATGCATGCTATTATTCAGATTCTTGCAGTTCAACTAGCTTGTGTCATATGGTGGATGAATTAGTTTCAAGGGTTGGGATATTTTAAACCATTATAAATTATTGGTAGCAATTTAAATCATACATGTTTTGAAGCCCTTCAACACGAAAGATCTTAAGGTATGAAGGGACGCTTTTGAGTTTTTTTTTTTAAAAAGTCAATAAAATATGATTTAATTTTTTTATAATACATGATTTGAAGAATGTTTATATATATATATTTAAAAGTCAATAATATATTTTTTTGACATTTATCAATAGTTCCATTTATTAATTATGGTGAAATAATTTAATATGTAAAGATAGCTTTGAATTGATTTAAATAAAATGATTAACTAATTAATTTTTTTCTAATATATAATAAATTTTTAAATAAAAAATGAAACAAATAATTTTAGAAAAAGTCAACAATTAAGATTTTTAACTCGTTTTAATATGGTGAATTTCTTTTTTTTAGACCGATGGACTTGACTAAAATTACTTGAATCGGTACGTTTTGTCTTAAACATTTTTTAATCACGTTTCTAGGATAAAATATAAATTTCTTAATAAAGTGGGATAAATTAAAAGATAAAAAATAATGCAAGTATAATAAATAATACTATCATAACCAGATTTCGAAAATTAAGTGAGAAAACATGTTCACTAGTGTGTGTAAGTTAATATTGATTAATCATCTAAGGCAATTATCGTTGTCCTACACATGTAAATATACAAAAAAAATAGTATTGCACCACAAACCCATTACAAGCGATAAAAAGATATATAATTATGTCAAATTCACATGAGGCAAATTTGTTGCAGTAAATTGATGTTTCATAATCATGTCAACAATTTCTTTGTTCACGCATTAGATGTCATGATACGATGCAAAATGTGCTTTGTGGCAAACAAAATAGTTATCACATTGTAATGATTAATGCAAAATGTGCTATGGGAACACAAATTAGATGATCATGTGATGTTACTACTCTGGGGATCCTGGTGCATAGTTTCATTTGTATTGAAAAGAGTAATCCACATTGCATTGACCAGTGCAATAACTTTTCATACACCAATTCTCATGTCATCACTATTCATGCTCATTAGATTTTCTATTGCAGATTATCATTTTTCATTGTAGAAATGAGTGATTGATATTGCCTCGACTAATGTGATGATCACAATTGAGTGTTTGCTTATAGCATATCGATCATAGTAGAAATCCTCTTTCACTAAAGTTAACAAAATTATTGATAGAAGGACTAACTTACAGAATGGAAAATTTAAAAATTTAAATGTCTCTAAATTTCTTTTAAGGACTTACTTGATAATTCTCACTAGAAAGAATTAGTAATAAAGAAAAAGACTTTTTTTCAATTGATTCTAAACAATACATCCACTTTTATATATAGAAAACAAGAGATCTTTATAAACTTTTAACAATTTTTAGTAATTTAATATCTTATCAACAACTTTTAATAATGTATTTAATATTCAACTAACAACATTCTTCTTCAAACTGATGAATGTATATATATCATTCCAAGTTTGCATGTGAAATCATGAAATCGTCAGTGGAAAGATCTTTTACAAGTAAATCTATTATCTGAAGTCCAAATAGGATGTAGGAAGTAGCGATAAAGCGACTATCCAATTTTTTTTTTAATAAAGTGTCGTTTTATTTTTATGTATTTAATCTTATCATGCTAAGATTGTGAGTAATGTTAATAGCTAATTTATTATCACAATACAAGATCATAGATTCTTCACATGTTACTTTAAAATTAGAATAATTCTCATCTATAATAATTCACACACCCTTATGTCAGCTCAGAATTTAACTTCTGTATTAAACCTTACAACAACATTTTGATTATTACTTATCTAAGTCACCAAATTTCTACCCAAAAATATGTAATATCTTGAGATGGATTTCCTATTTAATAATCCCCTTCCTGGACTTATCTTCATTGAAAGATTTTGTTTACCACTTGTAAATTTCTTCCATTTAGATAATGCATGAACTGACTCACGATACTCACAACATAAACTATATTCGTTCTGGTATGAGGTAAGTAAATGAACTTCCTAACAAATCTTTAATATTGGCCTTATTCACATAATAAATGCCTATAGAAACCCCAGTGGTCTTGCAATCAATCATAATTGTTTGCTTGAGAAGATATTTTTTGAGAGATAAAGATTTCTTTATTTGAGTAAGCTACTTTTATCCCAAAGAAGTACTTCAACTTTCCTACATTCTTCATTTCAAATTAAGTAGCAAGTTTTTCTTCGAATTGACAAAGTGTTATAATGGTGCTCTTGAAATTGGTAATGTGATGGATTTGTCCAATGCAAAACCAAGATGCAATGGCTGTTACAAATTGCTTTTGCTGCCTATTTGTGACAGGTAATATGCTTTTTAATGTGTCACTCTGTTAGTAGAAGGGAAGATTTATGGTATGGATATTTTGAGAATGGAACAAGAAAAATATGCATAAAAGGTTAGATGAAGTGCAGCATTTGATTGGCGGGATGATAGAGTGTGGGACTGAATATTTAAATTTGTAAAAGTAATCTTAAATAATTTGATTGTTAACGTATTTCTTTCAGGTGAAGTTCAAACAGCCATACATAAATTTGTGGTAATGGTATGTACAGGTAATATGAACAATAAATTTTCTTAAACAAAATTGTGAGGTAAACCTACTGTACAAGAGGGAATTTGTTTGCTGTCATATTATAGTTCCAAGGCCGAGCTCATCCTCAATGTCATCGCCATCTTCAAATAGCTTCATAAACCGAGCCTGATCCTGCTCCCTCTTCCTCTTTTGCCAATACTTGTACACAACCAACGTTACCAGCATCAATATGGCTGAGCCCAGAATAGTTAGCAAAACGATAACTGCTACATGCATTTCTCTTTTACTGTGATCTTGATTCTTGGCCGGCGGTGCAGAGACAGAAACTACAAATGAACACATTTTTTCGCAAACATATATTAGCAAGTAATGTAGTAAAGATGCATTCATACGCGAGAAAAATAACTTGGAAAACAACATGAAAAGTTAATTAAAAAGTGCGAAGAACTGGAAGAAACTTGATTTGGGAAATCCCAATAAATCACAGACTCACAAGAACAAAATGAATGAACAATGATGAGAAAAGTATATCTCAGACATGAGATAATAATATCAACGGTAATCAAGACTTGTCCCATTAGGTAGAATCAGACCAAAGATTATATATAATACTTACCATATAAAATTGAAGTTTAAGACAATAAGTCCTACCTCGTGTTTATTAATACCACCAATTAATCCTTCGTCTAGTTGGTTAGGGTAAAAAGGTTAAGATAATTTATTTTTTTGTTTACATTCTTAGCCAAATAATCTTCTAAGCAGGTCATCAATGGTGACATAATTGAGATTACTAGCACTTTTTTAAAAATTACAAAATTGAACTGTAAGCACCATATTAGAGATTAGAAGAACCATTGACAGAAGTTGAATTTGTTTTCTTTTCATAACTTCATAATTGTTGCATTGGCATCATATAACTCACAACTATCATTACACAGTTGTCTGTGAAGTCTAATACCATGATAACTGTAAGGAGTTTTCCAAGAAAAAAGGTAGCAGGAAACTCACCACCAGTAATATTTAAGCAATCTAAGCAGAGAAAACTAGCATTGAATTCGTTTTCCTTGAAGTAGATATATCTTCCATCAGGGGCCGTAAAATCAGAAGGACACAATTCCCACTCGTCAAACACATCGTCATAAAGAATCTTGTCTTCTTCATAGAATCCACATCGTTTACACTTTTTACCAGAGAAATTAGTTAAAGGCTGGAACCACAAAGCAAAATCTCAGCAGTTGCAAATGCAAATTCATACCTAATGATTAAGTGAAATCTCATAAAGTAACGTTTGAAATTACAAAATGCAAAGTCACATGAATTTAATGATTAAGCAAACTAGTCTAACAGTTGTTTTTTGGTTAAACAAGATGAGCCGCCTGCCTAAATTAAAAATAACAGTACTTTGTACAAAGAAGCAAAGATTTCAAATAACTGATTTCTAGACCTTGTTGTTACACGAGCTACAAGATGACCAGTCTCATCATAACCCAATTAGTATCCAACCAGCTCAAATTAACAGAATAACTACCCAGCAGGTATTATTTTTGCAATTTTAACTGTACAAACAAAGAGCTATTGTTGATTTCATCTTAGTTCAGGAGTTGCCCTATGCAATTCTTTTGCCATCAAAATTCTGTACAAGTGAGATTCTTCTACAAACAAAACACACTTCCAATCAGGTCAGCCCCTCTTCTCACGTTGGCCATAAACCAAGCCAGGATCCCAATCCACCTTATAATGTCTCTGTCCTAACTTTTTTTCCGCATGTGTCAGTATTGGTTCTTGGATATTAGAATCAAATATTTTTATCTCTTGATCGGTTCAGTATTTACAACAGTATTCAGACAATCAATGTTACACTACCAAATGGAAACCATGACTGCACAGTTTGCAAGAACTTTGAATTATTCTTCCAGCTTATATCACACTAATGTTCTCTATTAACACGAATTTTCTTTCAATCTATTTCAGAGTCCAAGCTTTGTCATTTCTTCATGTGTACTGATTTTCATGAGTCAGTGAATTCTGCAGTATCTAAAATCCCAGTGGTCAATTGGCTTTGCAGATAAAGTTGAAGGGAATTGGTGATTGATATCAATCGAGCTCAAGTTCAAGCTGTACCCAATATATTTCCAATTTTATACCTAAGCCAAGACTGCATTATGACAGTTCTGCTGGGACACTTTTTACGAGGGAGAATGTTCTTACTAAGTAGTCTTTCTTCAACCTTTCATTTCAGTCAATAAGAATTCAGTATGTATGCCATTACGATTACACAAGCCAGAAGAGATTACCATAAACTCTTAATCATAAAAAAAGCTTCTAAGAGATATGGAATGCTACATTTTGACACATGGGGGACCCTTGTCCATTGTTTCTATTCTTGGATGCAAATACTTTTTACCTATATCGGATTATTTCAGTAGATCTATATGCATTACATAGGCTCAAAGCTGAGTCTCATACTTAGAATTTTGTTGTTCGGGGAACAAACTCAGCATGATGCATGAGTGAAACTGATAGGATATAATATGATAGGTTATAATGGATAATAGGTGTGCAGGAGAGAGAAAACAGTTTAGGAATTAATTGTTCAGTTTAGGAATTAATTGTTGTTAGGTAGTTAGAAGTGGGTTGCCATTATAAGAAGGCAAGGGGTCTGGTAGAGAGAAGAGTTTTTGATATCATATGTATAGGCAGGAACCTTGATCCTGTGGAGGGGGATTATGCTCCCAGTTACTAGTTGTACATGACATTGGTTGATGTGAATACATATTTTCATTCTTTTCTTACCATTTGGGTGCTATTATGTGAGTGTGTGCGCTGTGAGATAGTTAGGTTTCATACCCAGAAACCTAACAATTTGGTCCGACCTGTCGGATCTCCTTAGGAGAGGATTGCCAGATCAAGAAGTGATCAAGAAAGGGTGGAGGCATGGAAGAAAGAGACAATACCTTGGAGAGGAGGATCAGGGAACACAAAATGAGAGGGCAAAACTGAAAATGAGGATGGCAGAATGGAGAAGAAACATGCAAGAAATGAGAGAAATGCTACAAGAAATCAAGATTCACATAAAGGACTTAGAAAGAAGTGAGAAATCTGTCATGAAAGGACAGAAGAGGGTTTAGAAGAAGAGCCGGAGGAAGACAGGGGAGGAAGATAGGGGTGAACAGAATTAGAGGTAGCGGGTAGAATTGCCCAAGTTTGAGGGGCTGGACCTGTTGGAATGGATCTCTCAGGTTGAGAAGTTTTTTGACACCCAAAATGTCACAGAGAAGGAGAGGCTCAGGTTGGCTTACAACTACATAGAGGGAGGCACAATTTATTGGTTAAGGGCCTGGAAAAATAAAACCAAGAACCTTTCTTGGAAAGGGCTGAAAGAGGCATTGATAAAGGGGTTCAAAGAAAGAGATAGAGGCTCTGTTTTTGAGAAGTTAGCCCAAACTGCAGGAGTTACAAAAGATGATGCTGAGAAAGTTGCAGAAGTTTCTGCTACAAGGGTGGATAACGTGACAAAGGTTGGTAGGGAAAATACATCAGGTGAAGATAATGATGGGAAGGTTGTGACTCTTGTTTCTCCAAGTAAAGTTGCAAAAGTTGTTGTTTGTAGTGGAGATAGAGTGGTAGGTTCTGGTGGGAATGTCAAACAATAAAGAAAGGGGAAGAATTGTTGAGGCCTAGGGTTAAAACAGTGGTGTCAAAAAGCAACCTAGTGGAGTCTATTTACAAGGCAAGAGAGAACTTGCTGCAAGATATCAAGAAAGGAAAGAAACACTCAGGTGGAGGAGAAAATTCAAGCAATTGGGAGCAAAAAGAAGAGGATGCCATTGACAATAATGGAGCTAGGAAGGGTGAGGAGACACCAGTTTTTTCGTGGGTGAAAAGAGAAGAGTTGACCACTTATGAAGACACCCAAGATCAAACAACAGGGGCAGCCGATGCTTCTGCAGTTCAAAACACCAAAGGAGCAACAAAAGCACACCCAAACAGCAAAGAAAATGTAGTCCAGGGGTGCAAGACTTGGCATAAAAAATCCAAGAACCTTTCTTGGAAAAATCTGGCCACAATTCTACTAAAGATAGTTGAAGGGAATAGAAGAAGCATTCTATGGGAGAATTGGACAGCAGTAACACAGACGGGGAGTGTGGAAATTTGACATGAGAGTTTGCAAGTGGATGGAGCAGCTGCCAAAAGTGTTGTTGCTACAAGAGCTGATGAAGTCAGAGTTGAGATTTTGAGGACTTCACAAAATTGGGCTAAAAGAATCTAGGAAGAGTGGAAGTCATTGGAGGGCAGCATCCAGTGGGTTCCCTTCATATGGTAACACGATGATGAAGAGGAGCCATGAGATCAAGCTTTCCGGTTCTAACCTTGAGGACAAGGTTGTTTTGCAGCAGGGTGTAATGATAGGATATAATATGATAGGTTATAATGGGTAATAGGTGTGCAAGAGAGAGAAAACAGTTTAGGTATTAATTGTTGTTGGATAGTTAGAAGTGGGTTGCCTTTATAAGAAGGCAAGGGGAGTATGGTAGAGAGGAGAGTTTTTGATATCAATTGTATAGACAAGAACCTTGATCCTGTGGAGGGGGATTATGCTCCCAGTTACTGGTTGTACATGACATTGGTTGATGTGAATACATATTTTCATTCTTTTCTTACTATTTGAGTGCTATTGTGTGAGTGTGTGCTGTGAGACAGTTAGGTTTCATACCCAGAAACCTAACAGAAACTGATTTGTACAGATAATGGACAATATTTTCCGATTCATCAACTTCAAGTATCTGATGAAATAATTCACCAAAAATCTTACATTGAATCCCTCTTACAAAACCATAGAATTGAGAGGAAGCACCAGCATGTACTTATGTAGATAACTTTTTCATATTCCCCGTGTCAATTACATCATAAACCAGTCCCTAGTTCATAACCGCATTTTATAAGAAAAAGCTCCCCTTGACAGTTGCTACATGGTTAATTATAGTGATGCCAAAGTCTTTCAATCACTATGTTGCCAAACCTGAACCCTGAGCTAGAAAATGCCTTCTTTCTAGGTTACAAAGTGGGAACAAGGGGATATGTATCGCTAGATTTAAATAGCCGAAAAGTGTTCAAAATGCCGCAGTGTGATCTTCCACGAGACAATCTTTCCTTAAAAGGTTGACAGTGATAGCTTATCACTTCATACTTCTTGAGAACCACGTTGCTTCCCTCATGTCCTATATACTGATAATAGTGCACTAGTGTAATAGAATTTTCTCAGTTACCTAACTTTGCATAGGCTGAACCTCCACCAAGAAGATCCACACAAGCTAGACATCAGCTACATCACCTTGCTGAGTACATATTCAGCTTCTCAACTGATTCAGTAAATTCTTCTTCCTTATACTACCTTCTTTCTTGTCCTGTTTCTGATGCTAAGCTTTTCCCTCTCATTTCTTGTTTTTCACATCTGATTACCACACATGTTGCATTTTAAGTCTCTAATCCAATGCTAAGGCAAATGAATAAGAGTTTTGGAATCATTTGATGCTGGGTGAGCTCATAGCTATAGGGAGTAACGACACTTGGAAACTAGTTCATCTTGTCATTTGAAACCCATTAATAGAAAATTGAGATATAAAATAAAGCATTGAGGTGAAAGATCTATTAAGTGACTCATACCTTGACTTGTGGCCAAAGGTTGTCATAAGGTTGACGAGCTGGATTACTTTGATACATTCTTTGTGGTTGTGAAGTTTACAAATTTTTGCATGCATCCATCCAAAGTTTGATTTACATCAATTGAATGTTGTTAGAATCTTGTAGATATGTTAGAAGCCTACAGATATAGTAACTGTTGATATTAGGATCTATTTGATTGTGGTCTAAAGATACAGAGTTCATATTCGAAATCAAGAACCTAAGGAGAAGGGAACCTAATCTCCGCGCTTTCCTTGGACCCACTAATCATAGGTGTAAATTGTTTAGAAACCATGTATATTTTTTGGTTTTTGTTATTTTTTTATTGTGTTTCACAATTAGTTGGTGTCATTGTTCACTAAAAACTGTCTAGCGAGCTTTTTCTGGCTCACGATCACCACTGCTGGCATTGCCTTGCCATGCATTGTCTTTGCCAGCCACTCTCTAGTAGTAACTGCACCCTCTAACTAGTTTTTCTCTCCAGCAGCTGGCACACCTTCTGAGCCTGTTTGCTCGTTTGCAGCCAAAGCTCCCTTGGAGTATTTTTCTCTAGTACTTGCTATTCTATCTGAGCATTTTTTTTCTCTTCAGCAACCACCATGCTTTTCAAGGATAATTTTGCTTTCTAATAGCCACCATGTCCTGTAAGCACTTTTTCTCTCATGCAGCTGGTGAGCTTTCCAAGAAAGTTTTGCTCTCTGACCACTGCCTCTTTGGCAATACTACTAGTACTCATTTCACAAGACTTCTAGTTGATGTGGATGATATCATCTTGCTGGAAATTTTTTGATAGAGTTCCAACACATCAAGTATGTCCCAAGGATTTGGGAGTCCTTAAGTTTTTTCTTGGTTTGAATGTTGCCAAAATATTTCATTTTGTGAGAGGAAGTAATGTTTGGACCCTGTTGCTGAATCTGGTAACTTAGGATCCAAACCAGTTCAAACTTGGCCGTTCCATTTAAGATCCGTCCAGATTGAATAAAGCCTTATGAAGACGTTCCATCGAATAGGCATCTCAGAGGGAGATTGCTTTATATCATTCTCACGAGAGACGACGATATTTTTATCATTCAGCAGCTGAAGCAGTTTATTTCTCATCCAACTTTGGTTCACTACCAAGCTGCTTGCAGGGTTCTCAAATATATGAAGGGATGCCCAGGTCGGCATTTATTCTTTCCTAGGTCTCTTACCATGCAATTGTTTGGTTTTCATAACCTGATTGGCCAGCTGGTTGTTTGGCTTCTCTACTTACTCTGTGATCTGAATGTCAATATACTTGCACCCTGCTTCTGTATTGCAACAACCAAAGTGTGCCAACACAGTCATATAATATGGATCCTGATAAAAGAGAAGGCCCTCTTGCCCATTTCTTAAGCTCAAGGAAATTTCTTCACTAAGCATCTCCCAAGCATTACATACCAAATTCAGACAGTTCAACATAAAAGAATAACTCCCAATCAGTTATTTCTATGTAATTTTCGCAGTACATTACAGCGACCTGCTATATATAGAATACATCCTAGTTCAAGGAATTGCATATTGCAACAATACCTTTCCATATAAAGATTCTAAAACCCTAATAATGAGAATTAAATTCATTTGATCACTCCTCTTTCCTGTGATCACCTTCTCATGACTTATAAAATAAAACTCAAATTAAAAATAGTGAAGGAAAAGCTCAAAAAGCAAAAGGGGACAAGGAGGAACCTGCCAAGACTCTTCACCCTTAAAAGTATAAGAAACGTTGGTTTTTTTTACATCAGGCAAGTTGGTTTTGTTGTCCCCTTTGCACCGAAAATAGACAGCTGGAGTGGCTTTTAGCCACTCGTGGGTTGTGAAGATTTCAATCGAGCTCAGAGTCACGTCCGCAGATACAACCAACCCTGTGCTACAAACAGTTAGTTTTATGTTTCATGAAACCTATAAACGAACAAATAAAGAGAAAATTGAAAATTAACCTGGGAAATCTGTGAAGAATAATATCGAAGAGAAAAGAAGGAGAAGCGAATAAGGAAGCGACATGAACATGGAGATGGAGATGAGAAGAGAGATCGATGAAGGAAGGTCGGAGAAGAATTCAGAATTCAGATACGAAGCTTAAACGACAGCGTTCAAGGTTGTACACGGATTGCAACTGCTTTATTCGTTACGGTCTGGTTGGCGGTGCGTTCCGAAGAATAATACTTGTATCATAGGTAGCGTACAACACAATAGAATGTTCCGCCACGTCATTACTTCTGAAACGGCATCGTTCTGTTAAGGTAAAGTTGATAAATTCGTAATGATCTTCAAAATAATTATTTAAACTAATCATATGAATGAGTTAATTCTGATTAACTGAAAGTTCAGCGCAAGTACTTTTTAAAAGAAAAAATGTATAAAAATAAATAAATAAATTTAAGTCATGTGCATTGAATTTTCTAGAGAATACCTTCATCTGTTTCCTGATTTTATAAAATAAAATGTTATAGTTATTATTCGTTTAAAAAAAATTATTGATTCTTAATCCACCAAAATCTAGAATAATTATTTTTAGATAAATGAATTGTGTAATTATATATATTAAAAAGATCTTTTAATCGTTCCCTCTAAAACATAAACATAAAATTCCCTTTTTTTTTAAACATTTGTGTAAGAAAAATAAATACATTTGTTTTAATAATTTAGTGGTGGAATTTTATTATTTTAGAGAAGTGGTTAATAATAGAAGGGTCTGAATTTGGATAGTCCATAAGAGAATATACAACAAATTATTTAAGGCACTGCAAGATTCATTCAGAACAAAAGAACCCTAAGGAGTTTAAATAAAGTAGCTCAAGGATCTTGAATGAATCAACCTTTGAAGAAGATGCTAATCACCATTATTATAAAATAAATCTCAATCAACTTCACAAATATTTAAATGAAAACAATGAATGTTTCAGCTGTACAAAAGATCACCCAAACATTATAATATTAGTACCTTAAGAAGGAAACACTTAATAAGGTACAATTCTTAATTTTTTTTTTCTAAGACACGATACCTTTGAATGCGATGGGAAAAACTATAATGAAAACTGAAATACACCTACTAGTTATATTCTTAATTTTAGAACATTATTAAGTGACATTTCAAACATTTAGGCTATGTTCACTTGAATGAATTTGGGAGAAAGTGATTCAAGAGATTTGAAGGTAAATTTTTTTATTGTTTATTTGAGTAGATTTGGAGGTAAGTGAGAGCGAATTTGAAAGTAAATTTTTTTAATCTGTCACATCAATAAAATCCTACACAAATTCTTAAAAACTTTACTTCCAAATTCAATTTCACTTACCTCCAAATCTACTCAAATAAAGAACAAAAAAATTACCTTCAAATCCTTTTAAATCCCTTCAATCACTCTTCCCAAATCCATTTAAGTGAACAAAGTCTTAAGATTATTATTAACTTTAAAATCCTATTAAACTACATTTCAGACAATTTGAATTGACCAATATCAAATAATATAAATTGTAAACTTAAAATATCGTTTAACATAATTATCTTAAAAATAATTGTTTTAAAAAAAATTATACTTATTTATTTTTAAAGTTTAGAGACATAAATAAATTTTAATTTTAAAAAACAAATTTAAGGAGAAAATATATATACTTTATTATTGGTTTAAATACGCTTTTAGTTTCTATTTTCTGAGAGAATATCAAATTTGTTTCCTAAATTTTTTTTTCTCAATAGGTTCCAATCTTTTCAAAATTAATGTAATTTGATTATTTCCACTAATGTATCAATTACGTTACATATCACCATCACATTTCAATTTGTAATTTTTTAATTCTCTGACAAAAATGATAACAAAACCGTATTTTATCAAGTATAAATTAACTGTAAAACAAAAACTACTATAGTCTTTTATGAATTAGAATTAATAACTTCTGCATGCTCATTGGAAGTATTTGTGAACTCTGTCATTAATCATTAACGTATGATTTGTAATGTATATTTACACAATAAATCAATTTTTACGCACTGATTTAAATTACTTACAAAGTTATGTTATAAGTGAGTTATTTGCTTTAAATAAGCGATCTATCCAGATTTGAAAAGTTTAGATTTTGAAGATTTACACAAGAAGGAAGGATTGGAGTAAACATCTACTGAATTACCTTTAGGAATTGAAAATCATATATATATAATTGGATGAATTTGAAATGAAGGGTTGAAGTTAGAAATCAAGTTAAGAAGACTTTGGTTTGGAGCTGATAGGCCTTGGTGAAGAATGCTGGCCAACAGAGGTATGTGGCCATTATGCTGCTAAGAGTTGCTGCACCTATCAACATGTTCATCACCACTATCTGCAGTTGAATGGCTTCCAATGGTGAGGCACCTCCCATAATTAGACCAGTCATTGCCCCAGGAAGGGATATTAAACCTACTGTTTTCGTGTTGTCCACCACTGGTGAAAGAGCTAATATCACTGCTCTTTTCACTTGCTCCTGCGTTGCTTCTCGCGGTGTTGCACCAAGCGCCAATGCAGTCTCAACCTGCAAAACAAATTATCCTCAATAAACACTCATTCACTTCATCTAAAACAATTACAACTATTTTACTCACTAATTTAATTATAGTCACCTAACTTCACAGTGTAATCAATACATAAAGCTATATGGGAAACTCATAAATTGGCACCGATAAAGCAGCATTCATATATTTAATAGAGAAAAGTAATAGTTAAATCATGATGTTTCGAAGACGTCAGTTTGAAATATTAAAAAAACACAGAAAAAACATTATGCAAGTGTGTTTCATTTTAATAGAAAACAAATTACAATCATTTAGTCACAAAGAACTTTAGTAATACACGACTGCAAAATCAAGAACTTTAGTAATAAAATATCGACAATTGGAATTTGTGGTTGGTGTTAAAAGAGCTGGATATTTTGACTGACTTCAGTTTTTTTTTTTTTGTGCCGTGTGTGGATCTGTTCAACCTTATGCAGATTTCATCTTAGTGCAGCAGCAATAACTTGCAAGCTTGCAGCTGAATTATTCATTGTGTAATACATAATCAGAAGATGAATCGATAAGGAGGATTACAAGACATACCAAGTTCATTTGTGTTTTGATGTCCTCTCGGAGTCTTTTCATGGTAACACCAGTTACTGTCATGGCGTTTCCAACCATCATTCCAGCAATAGGTATTATATATCTGGGAGTGAAAGGGAACACGCTCAGCAACACAAGCACAAACATGGTCACCGCAGTTCCGGTGAGAATGGAAACCCCAGCCACATACTTTCCTCTAGGCACGTTTTTTGCACGTTGACCTGCAGTGTAGCCAGCAACTATTACCTGCAACAAAAAAGACAGACATTTTCTTTTGTGGGTAACTGCAACCTATACTAAAGACACAAATTTAAACCATCTTAGTTTTGTTTATCAAACTCCTAAAAAAGTTTTTTTTTTCTACCCTTTGGTTTTTCTGGATTTTGCAGACGGATTTCCTATTCAACAATGTCTAACAACCATTTGGGTTATCCCAATTATCTTACATTCGAGCCAAAACTTGTTGATACAAAATATATACATTTATTTGAGATAAACCCAATGAAAGTGACCGTTGAAATTTGTTACGTGAAATTAACCGAAAAGAACTGGATAATGGAGAAAGAACGAAGAGGGACTAACCATGAAAAGGTAAGCTAGAAGGATCCATCCAGCGTTGTCCTGGTTGAAGATGAACTGCAGCACAAAGCCAATGATAGAAAGTTGAATAAATGCCCTCAGAATGGCAACAACCATTTCCAGCTCGAGGCCAAGCTTCTGGTAGAAGGATAAGGCCACAGCGAGAAAGACCACCGCTGTAGCAGCCACCGGCTTCACCATGCCCTTGAGGAACTCCACCAGCCATGACCAATCCGTGCCCTGCTGTAATGTGTGGTTCTGAGAAGCTAGCATGGGTTTGAGGAAGAAGAAGGAATCCATGGTGATGGATATTTGATGACACATAGGGTATAGCTATGATAACATATATGTGAAGGCCAAAGCAGAAAAGACCTTCCCCAGAATGCGAGTCACCATGTGGAGTGAGAGTTCTTAGTTGCGTGACACAGCAGCAGATTCAGCACTATTTTGGCCTTATCTTAGTTTACTTAATTATTCAATTCTACTATTCTTTTCATAATTCACAGTTCTCAGCTACTATCCTTCTCTGCAATATTAATATTGCTTGCTGGGAAATTTTAATGATTTCTGTCAACTTTTACATGTAAAATCTGGTTATTATTCAGCTCAAAATTACCTGGAACAATATATATTTTATAATTTTGAAGCATGTAATAATTTGTCAACGATCCAACCATTTTCTAAATCTGCATTCAGCTGACAAATATATTTCAAAATAAAGTAAAATGGTAAAAAGTAATAAAAGTTAAAGGGAGTATTCAAGAGCATTTTTTAAAGTTGAAGAGTAAATTAAAGATTTAAATCTGAATATTCGTCCAAATTAATTTTATTACGGGTGTGTTTTGGTTTACTATGAAAATGCAAGAAAGGAAACTTTTTAGTAAACATATTTTACATGATATTAAATAAACTATCTTAATTTAAAAAAAGTGTTTTTTTTTTCTTTCAAAATCTTAATTTCAAATATTAGGAACTAAATTTTTTAAGGTGTTTTTTAGAAAAGTAACGGAACGTACGTACGACAAGTTGCTTTCGTGAGGTTTGTCCTTTGTTTTGAAGCGGTTTGGAATGTGCCGTGTTAGTGAAACTTTGACAAAATCTTATGCTTTGGCTCTTACTTTATCGATTAATTAAAATTAATGTTAAGTAAAAAATTATTATAAAGATCAATAAACTTAACAACATAGCAATAATATAAAAAGTTTTAAAAATTTTAGTGTTTTTATTTAAGATTTAAACTAAAACATTTTTTAAGATTTATTTTAAATTATTATTTACTCATAAATTATCATAATTAAATAAGAATATTAGTGTATTGTATAATTGTTTGAGGAGTTATAGATCGGTCAATTCTTATTAAGACGTACCAATAAATTATCATTCGAACAGTTAAAGAATATCAGTTAATAACAAAAACAATTAATTCTAATACTGAATAATGTAAAAGTAAAGTGTAATTCCTAACTATTGAACCGTAATTAAACTATTATTAATCAAAAATTCATTTTAAAATCTATAAATATAAATTTAATATAAAGAAATAAATGATCATAATTTACTAAACACCGAATTAACTTTACTATCAGAATACCTTTTTCATATATTCTCCAGACAAGAATGGACTAGTACCTTGTTCGTATATTCTCCAAAGGTTTAATGTCTCAATAGGTCCCTATTTTTGTTCAGAATTTGAAATAGGTCCCTCTATTTTTTGGTGTCTCAATTGGGTCCTTATTTTTGTTAATTTGATGCAAATAAATCCTTTCCGTCAATTTCATCAAACGGCGTTAATGAATGTGTGACCTGGCCTTACACGTGTCAATACTGTCCTCAGGCCACGTCACACATTCATTAACGTCGTTTGATGAAATTGACGGAAAGGATTTATTTGCATCAAATTAACAAAAATAAGGACCCAATTGAGACGCCAAAAAATAAAAAGACATATTTCAAATTCTGAACAAAAATAGAGACTTATTGAGACATTAAACCTTCTCCAAACGATGTTGGACGAAGGTTTATACTCTCCACTTTATCCCGAAACAAATATTTTATAATAATTGTTTTAATATTTCTTGTTGTTTAAATAGTACAGTGGAGCAGGTCATGCCTAATTTCATATTAAATCGTGGCTTTGAATTTGGGCGTCCATGATCTATCCACGTTCGTAGCTATGGGCGTGGTTTAGGTATTGTACGGCCACATGTGATGTCATCGTATTCTACTTTGCTTTCTTTAATCATACATAATAAAGGTATTGTATTGTGCCAATTACCAAACAATACGTGGCAGATTATTATTTTATTCTCTATTAACAATAAACTAACTCACAAGTTTTGCAATACGTCACTCTTGACATCAGTGTCAATTGTTAATTAGGTGATTAAAGGAGGCCAATTCTTATTTATTTAAATTATTTTAAAATAAATTATTACTATTTGGATTCTAATTTTTAGAATATAAACTTAACTAGAACAGCAAGAAATACTCTGTCCATGCCCTAGAGTAAAATATAAACTTAAAGTATTCCAACTTGTAATACTTTAAGAGCAAATGGATCCTAACAGGTAGTGTTATTAGTACTTGAAAAAAAATTTATAAAAATAAGTCTTTAAATTTATGGATTCACCTTCAATTAATTCTTAAATATATGCTAATATTATCAAATTTTTATGATTTTGTTGTTTCCATTCATAGTTATTGGTACTACATCATCTTAGTTGGAAAAAAAGAAAATGATACACGATACAGCTAACAAAAATTATAGAACTTAAATGAATGGAAATCTATGAAATGATAAGTTTTTGTTTTTTTTCAATAAATAATCTCAGTCATGTCGAATCTTGTTTGGATTATGGTAGATTATTTACTTCAAACATTTTTGTCAATACTAAATTGAAGAAAACTCTTTTGGTTTGTTTTTGGCATAAGTTTAACTTATGCGAAGTGAATTAATATAAGAAAAATGAACATATTGATCGTATCGTATCATACCATTAAACAATGTTGACTTATTTTGATTATGCGGAGATAAACTTTTGAGTCTCTACAATGTTTTTTAGTTCAATTGAACGAAATTTGCAAAATACATTGTTTCTTAACAAGTGATTCTCTTTACACCTCACTTATTTTATGTGCATCTCTAATTTTTATTTAATTTTCATCTCTGTCGTACTTTCAAAATTGACCATTCAAATGTCGATTGAATATCACCACATTTTGAATTTTGACTTTTATTCAGTTGCTGATTAAAAAAATGTGATAGAAACAAACAAGGACAAATCAACTTGCTAAGAAGATCATCAATTTAGTAAGTTTACTTCTAACATTTGATCTCACAGTGTTCTTGGAGCAGAACGACAAACGAAAAAGTAAATGAGGGATCTCATAGAGTGAATTTTTCATTCTTTATGTGGACATGCACATCATTTTCATTTGGATTTACAAACTCAAAATAAGTGGTGGGCAAGAAGACCAAAAGAAAAAAAATTAAAAGGATAAGGAGTAAAGAAACACGAAAGTGCAAGCCATTTAATCAATTTTCCATTTCTAAGTGAAGAAGCAGTTTGTTTAGATGTCATGACATAATTAACCTATTTCTAATTGAAAACGGCACTGACAAAAAAATGCATCGAAATAATAATCTTTCTCAGAAATAGTGTAATAATATTTGTCAGCAATATGGTGTAATAGTGCACCTGGTAATAACAACAGCAATGCCAGCTTCAGCTACATGAACCAGAGCTTTTACTTTTATCGTTATGAGATATGTGTTAGGATAGCTTTGTTTTACTGTTTCTACGAGTTTGTTTTATTTTGTTTGATATATCTTATAAAAAGAATCTACTTCAATACTTGATACTGTGAGAATCTAACTTAAAATTATAATCATATTGCTACCTAAGTATTACTATTTTGAATAGTTTCTTTTTAATACATGTTTTCTTTTTTAGCATATATTTTTATAAAGAAATATTTTTCTTGCATTGACCTAATGTACTATTCAAAATTCATTTTAAAGATTGTTACACTCATTTTCTCTTAATTTTTTCACATTATAACCATAAGTGGTGTTTTATACTTAACTGAAGCTTCCATGTGAAACAAACTATATATCAATGAGAATACAGAAAGATAACAATGGTTTGATAGATAAAGAGATTTCATATCAAATATCCTAGATAACTTAATTAGAAATAAGGTTAAATTAGTAATTGTAATCATATCATAATAAATTAGTGTAGGGTTAAATTTAGTTTAAAATTTATTTTTTAACATGATATTAAAGTTATTTTAGAATGTATTTTAATGAAATTTGTTTTTTTGTTAGGTTTATTCTTCTGTTTGTTATTGGATCCCTTATATATGTTTAATCTCATGCTTGAAGGACTTTTCTTCCTGCATTCCCTTTATTCTTCTTGCACCTTTATTAGATTTTTAATCTCAATTATACCCGTCTATTAAATAATATTAAAATTTTTAATTGATTAATCTCCATCATTCTTTCTTTTTCTTCTTCCATAAGCACAACACGACGTCTCTACCATTTCAAAATCTCCATTTTTCCTTTTTTTTTCTTCCATGATTGTGACACATAAAGTGTATTTTTCTTCTTCTCTAACTGGATTAAATATATTTTTTTTCCTAATGAAAATTGAAATTAATCAAGTTTTTGAATTACTTTAGTTCCTTATCTTTGCTTCAGACCATTTTAGTTCCTTATTTTTAGAAATACATAAATTTATTTCTTATAATCAAATTGATAAGTTTATTTAAGATTTCAAAAAACATGTTTTTTAACTGATATTAAAATAATATCATATATAAACAAATTTCGAGTCTTAAGATTTATTTTTAAGTCAGCGTTCGCCCATGAATAGGCAAAAAAAATCATATTTGAATGCATATTTCTGAACCCTCAGTTTTTAAAATAAATAATGCAAAATGGTCCAAATATTTTTATTAAAAATATGTTATTTTTTGTTGAGAGAGAAACAAAGTTGAATTTTAGGTGACAATAAAATAAAATTATTTTATATAATATAAGGTGCACTAACCAATAAATCTTGGTGGGTATTTCACGAAAATCAGTAACATTGTGTGTCTGTTTGTGTCATGAGATGATTTAAACGGGTCACACAGGTTAAGATGATTGCATACGAAATTAATAGATTTCAAAAATAAAATAATATATTCTTTATAAAATAAATAGAAAGTCTACAATATGTGCAAATAAACATTTTCTCACCATCAAAACTTAGAACCTGTTATACATAAAAATCAATTAATTGTTTCTAATACAAATTTTTTTCCGATCAATCACAATCCGCCTTTTAAAATAAAACAGAAACTACACATTTTTTATTTTATTCCTCGTAAATGAAAGTATTAAATTTCATTTTAATTAATAATAATTTTATATATCGATGTGAAATTTTTATTACATTATTATTATTTTTAAGTCGACAATTTTGTTTACATGTAGTGTGATAATAATATAATGTTGTTTTTAAACTCTGCATTGCATGACTCATTTTGTAGAACAGGAATGTTTTTCTGCTTTGAAGAGAATCATAAAATTTTTACTAGGAAAGATTTCTGAAGCGGTGATCGTTGCAGCAGCAGTACTTGTCTGCAACACACAAAGATGACAACTTGCTGCGGCCAAAGGACAGAGAACAAGCCAATAACACCTGCCACTGTCAAGCAGAATCACACATGGAGGTGGGTTTCTCAATTCTCTCTCTCACGGACCTTCTTTCAAATGGGTTATCTCACTGCCAAGAAAAATAATAAAATGGAATTCACATTGTTTCGAGTGATCAGTGGCATGAAAACGGAAGAACACGATGGTTGGAATGCTCTCGAGTGCCTCAGAGGGAGATTACTAGCAGAGAGACAGGCTTCAAAGGTTGCCAAAGAACAAGCAGAATCATTGTGCAACAAGGTCATTTTCATACATAGTTTCTTGTTTCCTTCAGATAATTTAGATCAGGGAAACAAAATGACATAACTTTCTGGTTTCTGCTTGATAAACTTTATTCTGTGATTTTATTTTTGTCTCCCTAAAAATAAAAATCTTGGATTTTAGCAGTTTAATGAGCTGGAAAAGAAGCTTAAAGAAGAGATTAAACTAAGAGACAAAGCAGAAAGAAAGCTTAAGCTTTTAAAGAAGAAGCTTGAATGTTTCAATGTGTCCACCGCCTCATTGCAAAAATGTCATTCGGGTGAGAAATGTGAACTCTTCTACGGATCATCTTTATGTAGTGAAGCTTTGTTAGAAAATGAAGTCCGCAACCACAATGTTGCACTAGAACATGCACTCGTTCATACCCACAATAGTTCATTCACCACCAAAGATGGTGATTCTCTGTTAACTGATACTTCTAGTTGTAATTCAGACCTCGGTAACTTTCTCCCTCAAATTCCAGGCAAGACGCCAAATCAGAGTTCAGATAATTTGAAGAATGGCGAAAATAGGTGTTCCATTTGAAATTGAAGTCACATTGCACTTGATGAAATTTTGGATGTTTTAGTTGAATTTGTTGGCTGATTTCGGTTGTTTCTACGTTAGGCTTTCACTATGAAGCTCAAAATCATTGGGGAAAGGTTATAATCCTCAGGGTAGCTATGGCTATTATGGCTCAAATCCAAGCCCTGCTCAAGCTTCTCACCTGAAATGATTAGTCAGAATCCAAATCCTAGATTATAGTAGCAGGTATTACATTAGAAAATGTGGAGACATTATATTAGACGAGTAGTTTTTGTCCTTCGATTTAATTTGCTTGTGTTGACTAATTACCAATTTTCAACTTAAGATGTGTTTCGGCCTTTCTGGGTTTCTAGTTTGAGCTCAAAACCACCATGGCACTGCCATTAGTTGCTGTGACTTTTCCAGCAACTTTGACATAAAACCAATCAATTAAGAGTGTTTGAAGTCATAAATGCATAAAGAACAAGTCCAACGATAAAAATTGGCCCACATTATAACTGCATATTGAGATATTAACAAAAAGTGTGAAATTTGTAATAGTGAATGGTGTGATAACTTGATTGGTGTGAGGCAGTAGCTTCCATTTACATTATAAAACTTGAACTTGCGAGCTTCGGCATACTGCTCAGATGGCAAAAAATCAGAATCATTGGCAGGCAAACTTGTCTACATCATGGATACATCTCACTCAATGTTCAAGATTATTCAAATTGATTAAATTCAAAACTTTAGTTTCCCGTGATTGTTTACTTTGCTGGATTTTTTTAAATGATATTGTATTTGTGAAAAACTTTCATTTCCTTTCTTCAAAGTTACTCTAAATGACACTCACCTGTCTAATTTCGAAGTTTTTTTTTTGTTAATTAAGTTTTAAGTATGGATAAGTTTGATTATTTTAAATTGAATCTTTATTAAATCTTTTTAGTCCATTGAGTACTCAATTTTTATGTTTTTTAATTAAATTTGTATAATTAATTTTTCTATTAACGGAGCCGTGTAACTATTATTTTGTTTATGTGCAATACAATAAAAATTACGTACGTGATTAAATTTTTTATATTGAATATATAGATATAATATTGTATTAATAATGAAAAAATATGGACTAAATTCAAAATATAAATAATAATAACAAACGATAAAAAGATAAAAATAAAATATGTATTTAATGTATGAAATAATGTGAAATAACCGAATAATTTTTATTGTTCTCACGAAGTTATTGTGTTTTTTTTATAATTTCATATAAAAAACAAATAAAAGTTATCTATTATGTTTTCAACAAAACAAATAAAAGTTATTCAGATGTTATTATTTGTAATACCACGCATATATGCATTATTTATTTAACAGTAAAAATTAAACAATAGATTTAATTAAAAATATAAAAATTTGAAGTATTTATTAAGGTGAATTTTTAATAAAATTTAAATAAAAATATTTAAATTTATTATGAATTTAAATCAAACTTTATATTTTATATATTTTTAATAAAATGTCATTCACACTATTTTTTTCCATTTTATGATTAAATTCTTAGTAAAATCAAGATAACAATACAAGATCAAAATGTGTAGACAGTAAAACATAAAACCCCTACTTAGATACATACAAGATCAAAATGTGCTCAACGTCTAATTTCTATTTAGCAACAGAAAAACTAAAAGATAGAAACTTATCAATATCAAACTAACGCCAAAACAAAATAAAACTAATCATTAAAAGGGATAGAAAGGGATTAGGGCCCTATGGAATCTACTAGATACAACAAATTAATAAATAAGAAAAGGAAAAAAAAAAGAGGGATATAGAAAGGGACTAGAAGAGCCATGGAATGTACTAGATACAATATTTAATAAATATAGGTATGGTTTTACATTTCATGGTATATTGTATGATCTCTTGTTCCTTGTTTACTGCTAAGATGGTTTGAGATATGACATTGTTATGTGGTTACATTCTCATCATTATGACTTTATTTCATGTGAACATGTTACATGTCGTAGGTCAAATGTTGGTCTTGCTTTTGTTAAGCAAGTCATCATCTTAATTACTTTATTTAGAAGTTAGTGATTATTTAAAAGTTAGTGACAATATAATGACAATATAATGCCCAATAATTGCACAACTACTTAGATATATTAAAATGTTAAGATAAGCTTGTTGGAGGAATACAACTTCTGGAGTATAAAAATTATTACAAAATTCCAACGATATGGTTCAAAATGAAGGTTTTATGGTTACAGTAAAACGACGTTGTTATCGATGTAAAATAATACGTAATTTTTATTCGTTGTAAAATGATTTTTTGTGACAACTTATCTTAATAAAAATAATATAAATTCGTTCAGTTTATGAAGTCAAAGTTAAGTTTGATTTTTCAAAGGTTTTTAATTTTCAAGTTTAAATGAAAGTTTTATCTCTTATCATTAATGTTACTGTTCGGTTGAACTAAAGTACAATAGGAAACATTTATATTAAAGTTTATATTTGTCTAACAATAAATGTGCATTCAATTTAACCAATTACCTAAATTTTAAACCTATATTTATAGATTTTTGGATGAGCTTTTGATTAGTGCGAGTAATGATCTAACTTATGGTTAATGTAATTATTTTTAATATTAATTTTGTTTGCAATTTGACCAATCGATTCACCGACCTGTTCATATGAGACCATAACTTAGTTGATCTTTCATAACTGACTAGACGGTCATACTGTACATAAATTATTTTTATTTCATATAAAATATAATATCATTTTTGTATTATTCATAAATATTCATATTCTTTTAATACATAGAGAAAACACATAATAGATGAAAAATTATAAAATATAATTTTTGTTAGTATTTAATAAATAAAAATAATAATAAGACACGATTGAGAATACTAAATTTTATAAAAAAACTTCAAACTTAATTAAATCTAAAAACTAGAACAGTGTAAAATTACTTAAAGAAATATTTTTTTTAAAATATAAATTTATATAAAAATGGATTTTAATAATAATCCCAAATAAAATTATATCATGAACATTAACATAAATAAAAACTAAATTAAAGAAAATGTACTACGAAGTTTAAATTTAAGCAAAAATTTAATTTCATAAGCTGTAATAAAAAACATAAATCAACTAATCAAATAAAAAATAATAATAATGATTTTGTCATAAATCATTTTCTTTTGTTCATTTGATTCTAGGAAAGTATTTAAATAAAAAGTTACTAATAATGTGCATTGAAATATTTTAATCTTTTTAAAAAGGAAGGAAAATAACACTAAAAAACATTTAAAAAGGCTTAAACACAAAAATATTAAATAATTATGTCATTAGTTTGATTATCCAATTGATACATTATCCACATGAGAGACATTTATAACTATATAGCAAAAATGTGATCCTTCAACAGTGAAAGAAAGCCTATGAATACTGTTTTTCAAGAAAGAAGGACAATTATCCATGGAGGTAGGACCCATTGTAGACAAAAAAAATTCACATTGCATGTCTTTTAGGAGGAAAATAGGTAACATGAACTTAGAAAAAAATGTAGTCCAACACAAAGCTTTAAGCTATGGTTGATTTTGAGATATTATAGATTAAGATTATACTCACTCACCCCAAAATATAGCACAGAGATATGTAATAACAATAAGATAATTAGTATTGCCTACAATTTAGTACAACTTAACAAAACAAAGTTGATATAGATAAAAGTAACATTTCATAAAGAAATATCAGATTATCGGTTCATAGCTTTTACATAAGTTTGTTAGATGCGTTCAATAACGAGTGTGTTTGGATAAATAATTTTAAAAGAGAATTTAAAATGTTTTATCATTATATATTTTGGATTAAAAATTTAAAAGAAATTTAAACTCTAATATTTTATTAGAGTAATCTAATTGCTTAATATTGATAATTTTAAATTTTATTTAAAGAAAATTCTTCATATTCTTAAATTCATTTTTTCATATTTTTTTCTTAATTTAATTTTAATTAGAGTGTAATTGACTTGATTAAAATTGAAACATTGTTAAAATTACTAATTTTTCATGGATGTCGGTTAGAGTATTTTTTACTGATGTTAATAGGAAATATTTTTGTTATTTAAGTTGTTAGATTTTTTTGTAGGTCTTTATTATTTTTTATTTGATATTAATTAGAGTTTTCTTAATAATTTGGGAGATACTTTTTTTCAATAGATTTTTTAATTGTTATTTGTCATGATTATTTTTTTTTATAAATGTTAGAAGTAATTTTTTATTATCAATAAAAATATTTTGTTTCAATAATTTGTTAGATTTTTTTCTATTGTTAATTGGAAAATTTTCCACAGACATTAATTATAAGAATTGTGTTTTTCCTAATCTCAATTGAAGAAAAAATTCAGCTAACGTTGATAAAAAAAAAGTCTCCAAAAGACCTTCAATAACGAACATCATAAAAAATAACACTGATGTCTGTTTAAATAACTATCATCGACAATCTTAATTGAAGTCAATCTCAAGATCTTTGCAAATACCATTAACAAAAATCATTGATAATTAATTATTTTTTATTCATTTTACCGTTTTAAAATAATTTTTACATATATTGGTAATTGAAATATTTTATTCAATTAACAAAAGTACAATTTAGTAAATTTAAATTATCTAAAACAAAATATTGAAATGAGATGATCTTAGCCTTATTTATAAATAATGATTAGAAAGAAATGGAATAGAAGATTTGGCAGTGACATTAGTAGGGGAAATAACAAATGTGGTAACATGAATGGTGTCATTTGCTATGCCTCACCTTTCACACTACAAATAGGACAACACACATAATTATTAACATGTTATATGATACACAAAATGCACCAATTTTACACTTATAGGACTTCACTCTCCACCTTTCAATTCAAATTTCCTTTATGCCTTATTTCTTTCTCTTCCCACAAACATCACCAAAATCATTACATACGTAAACATGTTATGTTTACACAAATTTGATTACCCAACATGTGAAATCATTTCGTACGTAAACTATTATGTTCTAATCATGTGAAATTTCAATACATAAATTTAACACTTCTTTAACTTATACATTAATTCTTTTCCATCTTTCAAATTTCTTGGATCGCATTGTTCTTGTCTTTTTTCCATCAATCCCTTTCTCAATTATTATCATTTTTTTCTTTCACGATATTAACAAAATCCTTCATGAAGTAAATATTGGCTTTGTTGGCCTCAAATGGAAAAGATTTACACAAATCTGAAAACCAATTATCAAGAATTATGGTTGAGGTTTCTAAAATTAAAAATTAGGGATATGAAAGTAATTTGGAGATATGGGTGTCACATAATCATTAACATCAAATCAAAACCATATTATATGAGGCAAGTTGAATGTCACTTTCACAAATAATTGAAACAATGGAAGGATTATACCGAAGTGGAAAAATGGTTCTTGACGAATTAGTTTGAAAAAATGTTAAAAACTTATATTAATTAATGAATTTATAATATATAAATGATTATAAATATTATTAGTTTATAATTAAATTAGATTTAAAATCTATTTCTTAAAATG